CCTCCTGCCACAGCACATGAAAATGCTACGTAGAAGATGACAATTATACTTTTGACAGCTAGGTGTTGTAGATTATACCCAAATGACCAATTTTCCCCAGTCCAACCCAACACCTCCCCAGCTGGTGATGAAGGACTCTGTCACAGCTATGGTGACAACACAGAGAGCTTTTATAGGGGGAGGCTGTTGCGTAGAAGGGGAGAGACGGAGGATGTTGATAACTGCTAGCTTTAAATGCAGAGCTGAGCGTTCAAGAAAGTAAAGAAAGTCCTTAGGGACCTCAGACACAGAGAATGCACGAGTGGAGCAGTAGACATGGAATTCTGCACTGCAGCTGCCGGGGCTGGGAGCACAGGGGCTGGGGAAGGGGCCGTCAGCCAGGGAAATCAGGTGGTTTCAGTGTTCAGCCCCCATGGAGACAGAACGGCTTGGGTCTGTGCGGGATGGAGAATTGGAACAGAAATTTCCAAATAAAGATCCTCTAAAGGCTATAGCTAGGGCAGGCGTTTGGCACAGCAGTTGAGACACCTGTATCTTAGACAAGAGGGTCTGGTTCGAATCCCAGCTCTGCTGCTGCTGCTTCTTCTTCTTCTTCTTCTTCTTCTTCTTCTTCTTTTACAGGCAGAGTGGACAGTGAGAGAGAGAGACAGAGAGAAAGGTCTTCCTTTTGCCGTTGGTTCACCCTCCAATGGCCGCCGCGGCCGGTGCACCACGCTGATCCGAAGGCAGGAGCCAGGTGCTTCTCCTGGTCTCCCATGGGGTGCAGGGCCCAAGCACTTGGGCCATTCTCCACTGCACTCCCTGGCCACAGCAGAGAGCTGGCTTGGAAGAGGGGCAACCGGGACAGAATCCGGCGCCCCGACTGGGACTAGAACCCCGTGTGCCGGTGCCACAAGGAGGAGGATTAGCCTAGTGAGCCGCGGCGCTGGCTCCAGCTCTGCTTCTGATTCCAGCTTCCTGCTGATGGCTCAAGGACTTGGGTCCTGTCCCATGCTTGGGAGATCTGGATGGAGTTCCTGGCTCCTGACTTCAAGCCTAGCCTAGCCCTGGCTGTTGCAGGCATATGGGAAGTGACCCAGAAAATGGAAGATCTCTCTGCCTCTATCTACCTTTCAAATAAAATAAAGTCAATCAAAAATTTAAAAGGATGGGAACTGGTGCTGTGGCACAGGTTAATCCTCCAACTGTGGCACCAGCATCCCATATGGGCACTGGTTCGGGACTGGCTGCTCCTCTTCTGATCCAGCTCTCTGATATGGCCTGGAAAAGCAGTAGAAGATGGCCCTAGTCCTTGGGCCCCTGCACCTGTGTGGGAGTCCCAGAAGAATCTCCTGGCTGCTGGCTTTGGATTGGTGCAGCTCTGGCTGTTGCAGCCATTTGGGGAGTGAATCATCAGATGGAAGATTTCTACCTCTCTCTCTCTCTACCTCTCTCTCTCTCTCTCTGCCTTTCTTCTGCGTAACTTTGACTTTTAAATTAAAAAAAAAAAATTAAAAGGATGTAGTCTTTGAAAGGAGGATCTTAAAAATCCATCCAGGGGCCAGTGCTGTGGCAAAGCACAAAAAAACACTGCCTGCCATGCTGGCATCCGCAGTGGGTGCTGGTTCAAGTGTTGGCTGCTCCACTTCCAATCCAGCTCCCAGGTAACGGCCTGGGAAAGCAGCAGAAGCTGGCCCAAGTACTTGGGCCCCTACACCCACATGGGAGATCCAGATGAAGCTCTTGTGTCCTGGCTCCCAGCTTTAGCCTGGCCCAGCCCTGGCCATTATGGTCATCAGAGGAGTGAACCACTGGCGCTCTCTCTCTCTCTTTCTCTCTCTCTGTAACTCAGATCAAAAAATTAAAAAAAAAATCCATCCTTGGTCGGCACCGTGGCTCACTTGGCTAATCCTCTGCCTGCGGTGCCAGCATCCCAGGTTCTAGTCCCGGTTGGGGCACCAGTTCTGTCCCGGTTGCTCCTCTTCCAGTCCAGCTCTCTGCTGTGGCCTGGGAAGGCAGTGGAGGATGGCCCAAGTGCTTGGGCCCTGCACCTGAAGAACCTTAAAATCAAACCAAGATGGAGTGACTTAAGCTAATGCTATTAAAAATAAGAAGTCACCTTTGCCCCAAATAAAATTAAAGTTTAAAAATTATAGCCCTAAACTTTTTCCCCCAGAGCTAAAATTAGGTGCAGCTATAAAAATAAGGGACCCTATGCTTAGCTAGCTGAGACACTTGCGCCTGGCTGTGCTAAGACCTAACCTGTTTTGTATGCCTCCTAATACTCAGATAATGGTGTGGGAAGCGGGACGCTGCTCTCCCTCCAGGGGAACGAAGGGAGCGAGACGTCGTCCCCCTCAGGGTGAACAAGATGACGCTGACAGGGAAAGGAACTGCTGAAGAAGTAAACAACAAAATGGTGACGAGGTGCATGCCTCCCATGTGATCCCGTAGCTGATTGGATAGAGGATGCATGCCTTTCACATGATGAGCTCACTGATTGGATGGAGGACGCATGCCTTTCACATGATCAGCTCACGGATTGGACAGAAGGCGCATGCCTTTCACATGATCAGCTCACGGATTGGTCGCTGCGGGTATATAAACCGTGTGGCTCTGTGCTGGGGGCGCTCTCTGGACTCCTGAGTTCAGGAGGCCCTTCTGCGCAGATGCCGAATAAATCCTCTTGCTTCTGCATCAGCCGGTCTGGACTCTGAGTCTTTGGGGTGTGCCTCTCGATGTGTTAGCATCCTCACTCAGAGGGTCTAACACACCCACATGGCAGACCAGGAGGAAGCACCTGGCTCCTGGCTTCGGATTGGCGCAGTGCACCAGCTGTAACAGCCATTTGGGGGTGAACCAATGGAAGGAAGACCTTTCTATCTGTCTCTCTCTCTCACTGTCTAACTCTGTTGAAAGAAAAAAAAATCCATCAATAGGGAGGTAGCAATTTTTCTGCCTATTTTTGGCTTTAAGTATTAATAAAACAGAATTGTTGGTTCTTTTTTTTTTTTAGATTTATTTAGTTATTTGAAGGTCAGAGTTACACAGAGAGAGAAAGAGTGTCAGAGAGAGAGAGAGGTCTTCCATCCGTTGGTTCACTCCCCAACAGCCAGAGTTGCGCTGATCTGAAGCCAGAAGCCAGGAGCTTCTTCTGAGTCTCCCATGCAGGTGCAGGGGCCCAAAGACTTGGGCCATCCTCCACTGCTATCCCAGGCCATAGCAGAGAGCTGGATGGGAAGTGGAGCAGCTGGGACTCAAACCAGTGCCCATATGGGATGCTGGCACTGCAGGCAGCAGCCTTACCAGCTACACCACAGCGCCAGCCCCCGGTTTTATTTTTTAAAAAATATTTGTTTCTTTATCTGAAAGGCAGAGTGACAGAGAGAGAGAGAGAGAGAGAGAGAGAGAGAGAAAGAGAAGCAGAAAGAGACTTTCTATCCACTGGCTTTCCCTCTAAATGGCCTCAATAGCCAGAGTTGAGCAAGGCCAAAGAAAGAAGCCAGAAACTCCATCCTAGTTACCTACATGAAGGCAGGGGCCCAAGAACTTGGGCCACCATCTGCTGCCTTCCCACATGCATTGTCAGGAAGCTGGATGAGAAGCAGAGCCCCCAGGAGTTCAACCAGCTTCCAATATAGGATGGTGGCGTCATTGCAAGGGGCAGCCTAACCTGCTATGCCCAATACCAGCCCTTTTTTCTTGTTGGTTTTACTTTATTTTAAAAGATTTATTATTTTTATATTTGAAAGTCAGAGTTACACAGAGAGAGGGAGACACACACATACACACAGAGAGAGAGAGAGAGAGAGAGAGAGAATTTTTCATCCTCTGGTTCACTTTAATGGCCACAATGGCTGGGACTGAGAATGAGTCAGGCCCAAGCCAGGAGCCAGGAGCTTCTTCCAGGTCTCCCATGTGGGTGGCATGAACCTGACCACTTGGGTCATCCTCTGCTACTTTCCCAGGATAGGAAGTGGAGCAGACGGGACACAAACTGGTGCCCATATGGGATGCTGGCACTGCAGGCGTCCGCTTTATCCATTATGCCAAAACACCGGGCCCTTTATGTTGGTTTTATTTACTTATTTTTATTTTTTTATTTTTAAAATATTTATTTATTTATTTGAAAGGCAGAGTTACAAAGAGGCAGAGGCAGAGAGAGAGGTCTTCCATCTGCTGGTTCACCCCTTAGATGGCCGCAATGGCTGGAGCTGTCCTGATCTGAAGCCAGGAGCCAGTAGCTTCTTCTGGGTCTCCCACGTGGGTGCAAAGGCCCCAGGACTTGGGCCACCTTCTACTGCTTCCCCAGGCCACAGCAGAGAGCTGGATGGGAAGTGGAGCAGCCAGGACTCGAACTGCTGCCCATATGAGATGCCAGTACTGCAGGCAGTGGCTTTACTCACTGTGCCACAGTGCTGGCCCTGTTGGTTTTAGATTTAAATCTATACACTGTGGTCCAGGAATGCACAAGCAAAGGAGCCGGCATAAAGCGGTTCTAGACCAGGGATGTCCCTGGGTGAAACCATGTCAACTCCTCTGGATGAGTGCAGGATTGCCACAGTCATGGAAAGATGATCTCCAAGGAGGAGCAAACCCCAGTGAGCAGAGAGCAGCAAACAAGCGGCAAGAATTTCAGATACTATTCATACAACCCTGAGATGACAAGTACAAAAGCAGTTATGTGTAGTGATTAAAGTTATGGCTGCTGGGTTTTAGTTAAGGTCATCTACTTACCCTTCATGTGATCATAGCCACGTTGAAGAACTTCTCTGGCTGCTTCATTTCTGATCCAGCTCCCTGCTAATGACCTGGGAAGGCAGAGGAAGATGGCCCAAGTGCCTGGGCCCCTGCCACCCATGTGGGAGACCTGGAAGAAGCTCCTAGCTCCAGCCTGGCCCAGCCCAGGGAGTGAACAGTGGATGCAAGAGCTCTCTTTCTCTGTAACTCTTTCAAATAAATTAAATAAATCTTTTTTTTTTTTTTAATTTGAAAGAGTTACAGAGAGAGGTCAAGACAGAGAGAGAGAGAGGTCTTCCATCCACTAGTTCACTCCCTAGATGGCCACAATGGCCAGAGCTGCGCGGATCCAAAGCCAGGAGCCAGGAGTCTCCCACGTGGGTGCAGGGACCCAAGGACTTGGGTCATCTTCCACTGCCCCTCCAGACCATAGCAGAGAACTGATCAGAAGAGGAACAGCAAGGACTAGAACTGGCACCCATATGGGATGCCAGTGCTTCAGGCCAGGACTTTAACCCACTGTGCCACAGCGCTGGCCCCTAAATAAATCTTTTAAAAAAAAAAAAAAAGAACTTGTAGAACTGAAAAAGGAGCGAGGGGCAGGCAGTGTGGTGCATCAGGTTAAGGCACGGCTTGGGACATGCACCCCCGTAGCACAGTGCAGGTTTGAGCCTCAGCTACTCGGCTCCCCAAGCAGCTTCCCGCTCGTTCCTCCTGGGAGGCAGCACATGGGGACTCAAGTACCTGGGCCCCTGCCACCCGAGTGGGAGACCTGAACGGAGTTCCTGGCTCCTGGCTTCGGCCTGACCTAGTCCTGGTTGTTATGGGGATTTGGGGAGTGAACCAGCAGGCGGACTATCTTTCTCTTCCTGTCGTTCTGCCTTTCAAGTAGGAGAAAACAAACTAAAAAATTTTAAAAAGGAAAGTAAATGTAACTTTACACATGAGAAATCATTAATTTGTTTAAACGTGTGTGCCTTTACTGCTGGGCAGGCTGCTCCGAGAGGCTGCAGCGGGAGGAGTGGGTAGCCCCGTAGCCCCGTGGGCCCGTGGCGGGCCGGCCATGCTTCGCAGCCTTGTAGGTGATGGAGAATTTGCCTAGGTAGTGGCCGACCACCTCGGCCGTGATTTCCACCAGCGTGAAGCTCGAGCCCGGTTCGCCCACCACCCACAGCAGGAGGACCACACCCAGCAGGGGTGTCCCCCACCCCCGCTTCCGGCCTCTCGGTGGGAGGCCCCGCCTTCTTGGCCTTGCGCAGGCGCGTCAGTGGAGAGCGCGGCTTCCGGCGCAGGCCCCGGCTCAGTGCCGCCGCCGCGGGGCGCTGTGCGGCTGCTCGGAGGTCCGCGTCGTGGGAAGCAAACTTGCCGGAGGTCCGCTGCTTCTGGGGCTCCGCTTCCGCCATCTTGTCGGCTTCCTGAAACTGGTCATTTAAATTAAGGAAAATTACTTAATAGACTAACGGCTGATTGGTCATAGCTGAAGGAAGAAGTAGCAGGCTGGAAAAATGGATCTGAGGAAATGATTCAGAATGAAGCACAGAGAAATAAAAGATAAAAACCTATGGAGCGCTCCCACTCTGCACCTGAGAGACGACGCACATGAGTGCCCTTCCTGCCACCTTTTCGTTTTTCGCCTTTTCGCCTCCGCACACGGAGAGTGGGTCTTCCCCACTCAGTCTGCAGATACCTGCGTGAACACCCAGACACCGTGCCGTCCAGGAATCCCTCAGCCCAGTCACGTTGACACCCAAAATCCATCGCAGGAGGCTAACGGACCTGGAAGGCAGCAGGAGACCTAACATCCCTGTCAACCATCCGCGAGAGAGAACAGGAAATGGGAAGGCGGCCATGGTTGACAACACAACAGCTGGAAAATGTGCGGACTTACATGAGTCCTCAGGTTTAGAAAAGGCAGCAAGCCCCAAATAGGATAAATATACAGAGGAAGAAACCCACACGTATTTTCATGGTAGTGAAACTACAGACCATTCCACAAAGGGAAGATAGGGAAGACTACCAGAGGAAAAACAGTTATCTACAGTAGGAGACTTCGCGGAGGAGGTGAACATTTGAACAGAGATGAGGAGCAGGGGGAGGGCAGCTGTGGGGTTATCCAGGGAGATGTGTTCCAGGCAGGAAGAACTGCTAGTGAAAAGGTTGTGTGGCATGATTGACACGTTGTCCAGTTTGAATGGAGAGGAGGGAGCAAGAGGGAGGGCCCCTGGAGATGAAATCAGAGACTGTGACGGGGCAATGGGAAGGGGAGGCAGGGCTTATGAGTCCTGGCCTTGTAACAAGTTAGGCTTTTACTCCGAGTGAAACAGCCAATAGAGGGCTTGGGTAGAGGAGTAACATAATCTGACCTATCTTTTAAAATGATGACTCAGAATATTGGGGTGGGTGGGGGACAAGGGTACAATCAGGGACATCATTTGTAGGTTATTGTTAATAATCTATAAGAGATGATATGTTGAGCCCACACTGTGGCATAGTGGGTGAAGCTGCCGCCTGCAGTGTTGCCATCTCATATGGGTGCCGGTTGGAGTCCCAGCTGCTCCACTTCCAAAATAGCTCTCTGCTATGGCCTGCAAAAGCAGTGGAGGATGGGCTAAGTCCTTGGGCCCCTGCACCCACGTGGGAGACCCAGAAGATGCTCCTGGCTCTTGGCTTCCGATTGGCCCAGCTCTGTCCTTTGTAGCCATTTGGGGAATGAACCAGTGCATGGAAAACCTCTTTCTGTCTCTCCCTCTCTCTGTAACTCTGCCTCACAAGTAAATAAATAAATCTTTAAAAAACAAACAAACAGAAAGATAGTCTCCTAGTGACGTCCGGTCTTCTAGTTTAGGTTGAGTCTTAGCGCTGTGTGGCTCACGTCATTACTGGACTAAATCATAAACATAACTGCCAGCTGCCTTCACCCTGTGCCCACAGGGGCTTCCTTCCCTGCAGCAGAGGGCTCTGACCGCAACAATCAGCTCAGACTCGTGGGATACTTGGTTCACATATGCAGGGCAGTACTGAGATTTCTTTGAGCATCTCTTCACTGAATTCCATTTTATCCACACTTAGGCCTTCAGTCTAAGGATTTCAGTCACTGGCTTCCCTCCTTTCTCTTGTGATGTTCAAAAAATTGGGAAACGGTACAATATTTTTTTAATTTTTAAAATATTTATTTATCTGAAAAACAGAGGGAGAGCGAGAGATAGATTCTTCTGTTGGTTCACTCCTCAAATAGCCACTACAGAAAGGGCTGGGTCAGGCCAAAGCCAGGAACTAGGAACTCCATCTGGGTCTTCCACAAGAATAGCAGGTGGGTCATCTTCTCCTGCCTTCCCAGGTACATTAGCAGGAAGTTGGATCAGAAGTGGAGTACTTAGGACACAAACCAGACCCTCCAGTATGGGATGCCAGTATTGCAAGTGGCAGCTTTACTGGTTGCACCACAGTAGCAGCCGCCCCACCACAAACCTTTTTGAGGTGTGCTGATATACTACTGGCCGTAGTAATTCCCCAATTTTAATTCTGAATAGCAATATCATTAATCATTGCTCATATACTATGTTCTAGGAGACGAAATGATTGCAATAGCTACTACTAGGAAAAAAGACGCCTCTAGGAAAACACCATACTTAGCCACTGGTCCAGTGCTGTGCTGTGTTTTGCTGGATAACTCTATACAGGTAAACCCATGGGCATCGTGCAACTCACCTCCTAAACAGTGCGTTCCTTAGTCCCTACTTTCTCGGAGTACTTCCTCTGTAGAACAAGCATCTTTCAGCACCATGCCAAAGAGCACTGGCTGCGGTCACCTGTTGGGACCTGTGCAGGTCGAGCCATCCACTTCCTTCCATTACTGGTGTCCTTTGTATGTGAATTCAGGGTTGAGTCTTCCTGCAACACTGGCTTAATACAATTTTCACAGCAGGCATTTGACCTATGCTTAACCCGAAAGTTGGAACACCTGCATCCAATACCGAAGTGCCAGGGTGTCAGTCCTGGCTCCATGTCCTGATTCCAGCTGCCTGCTAACACACACCCTGGGAGGCAGCAGGTGATGGCTCAAGAAATTGTGTCCCTGCCACTCACAGGGGAGACATGGACTGGGTTCTTGACTCCTGGCTTTGGCTTTAGCCCAGTCCTAGCCACTGTGGCATTTGGGGAGTGAACCATAGGATGAGAGTGTTCTCTTATGCATGCTGTCTCTCTCTCCTTCTCCTCCTCCTCTTAAATAAACATTAAAAAGAAAAGTCCAGACCTCTGTGTGCCAGCAATATGTTTTCCTGTTCTAGCAGAATGAGTGTTTTGCCTGGGGGATACCTGCTAGGAAAGTCCAAACCAGGAATCTGGTCTTTCTTTGATAATTCCCAGGTAAAGATTCAAGGATGCGCTTGCCTTAGGGGCTCTGCCCACCTCTCGATTCCTCTCCAAATAAGCCTCAGGGTAGAGGTGGTGAATGGTGAGGGGATGGGGGTAAAGGGGTGTAATGGGAGCCTTTCTCCTCTAATGTGTTTTGGAAGGTTAACCCTGCACCCCGGTGCAGCTCACAACTTTTGATGGAACGTCTTCTACAACATGGAAGCAATTTCACATTTGTCCAGCAGAGGGGGCTCAACGGAGAGACTTTGGAGAGACCCAGGGATTTTTGAATAAAGCTGGCTTTTCTTTTAATGTTTATTTTTTTAAAGATTATTTTTGTGAAAGGCAGAGTGAGAGCAAGAGAGAGAGTGAGCGAGAGACAAAGTGAGAGAGATTGATCTTTCATCTGCTGTTTCACCCCCCAAATGGCCACAACAGCCAGTGCTGGGTCAGGTCAGAGCCAGGAGCCAAGAACTTCATCCTGGTCTCACCCGTGGATGGCAAGGGCAGACTTGGGCCATCTCCTGCTGCCCTCCCAGGCACGCTAGGGAATACTGGGTCAGAAGCAGAGGAGCCAGGACTTGAACCGTCACTCCAGTATGGGATGCCAGCACCACGAGCTTAACAACATAGCCTCATCAGAGCTGACTTTTCTATTTTTTTAAAAGATTTATTTATGTATTTGAAAGTAATTTCTACACAGAGAGAGAAGGAGAGGCAGAGAGAGAGAGAGGGAGAGAGAGAGAGAGAGGTCCTCCATCCACTGGTTCACTCCCCAATTGGTTGCAATGGCCGGACCTGCACCGATCTGAAGCCAAGAGCCAGGAGCTTCTTCCGGGTCTCCCAAGGACTTGGGCCATCTTCTACTGCTTCCCCAGGCCATAGTAGAGAGCTGGATCAGAAGTGGAGCAGCCGGGACTTGGACCAGCGCCCATATAGGATGCCAGCACTGCAGGTGGTGGCTTTGCCCACTATGCCCAGCACCAGCCCCTAGAGCTGACTTTTCTTCCCACACCACATTCGGTCCCTGGAAACCGTGCTGCTGCTGCCTCCAGAGCATGCCCAGGACCTGACTGGCTCTCCCTCCTCCAGTGCCGTCTCCCCAGCCAGAGCCCCTGTCACTGTCTCACCTGGATCACTGCAGAGGTCCCCTAACACTTGCTCTGCTTTTCCTCCTTTCTTGTCATCTATCCTCAACTCAGCAGCCAGAGTCCTCGAGCTATCAGTACATTGCCGCCCATGCACTGCTCTGCCCAGAATCCTGCGGTGACTTCCTATTATCCCCGGGACAAAGCCAAAGCCCCTTCAACCCTGGCCCCTTCTCCCCCGTTACCTCTCCGACCGCTTCTGGAACTCGCCCCTTGAGGCTCTGCTGCACACCACTGGCCTTTGGCTCCAGCTTGGCCACACCAGGTACATCTTTGCTGTTCCCTTTTCTGTCCCTGTACCTCACTCCCTGGTTTCCTTCAGGTCCTACTCAAACTTGACCTTTTCAATTCTTGTCCTGTCTGCTCCTCTTCTGATCCAGCTCTCTGCTATGGCCTGGGAAAGCAGTGGAAAGTGGCCCAAGTGCTTGGGCCCTGCACCCATGTGGGAGACCTGGAAGAAGTTCCTGGCTCCTGGCTTTGGACTGGCCCAGCTCTGGCCTTTGTGGTCATTTTGGAAGTAAGCCAGCGCATGGAAGACCTCTCTCTCTCTCTCTCTCTCTTTTCCCCTCCTTCTGTCTGTGGTTCTGCCTCTTAAATAAATAATTTAAAAAAATAAAATTGGGACCACTATGGCTCTACCTCTCAAATAAATAAATAACTTAAAAAAATAAAATTGGGATCACAGGGGTGGGTGTTGTGGCACATGGAGTTAAGTCACCAACTGGAATGCCTGCAACCTGTATCAGACTGCTTGCTTTGAGTCCTTGCTACTCCGCCTCCTACCCAGCTTCCTGTTCATGCATCTAGGAAAGCAGAGGAAAGTGGCCAAGATGCTTGAGTCCTTGCCACGCACATGGGAGAACCAGATGGAGCTCCTGGCTCCTGACTTTGGCCTGGTCCGAGCCCAGCTGTTGTGGGCATTAGGGGAGTGAACCAGTGGATGGAAGATCTCTCTCACTCACTTGCTTTGCCTTTCAAATAAGTGCATTTTAAAAATTAAAATAAAATTGCAATCACTACTTTCCTACGTTCCCTAAACCTCTTTCCCAAACCTCTTACCCTGCTGTTTCTTCCAGAATTCTCTGTTTAGCACCTTCTAACATAGGATTCTATTTTTAAAAAGCAGTTATTTATTTGAAAGGCAGAGTTACAGAGAGAGAGGGATAAAGACCGTCCATCTGCCGGCTCACCTACCAAATGGCTGCAATAGCTGGGGCTGGGCCAGGCCAAAGCCAGGAGCCAGGAGCTTCTTCCAGGTCTCCCACATGTGTGCAGGGGCACAGGCACTTGGGCCATCCTCCGTTGCATTCCCAGGCACATTAGCAGGGAGTTGGATCAGAAGTGGAGCTGCCAGGACTTGAACCAGTGCCCCTATGGGATGCTAGTGTTACAGGCAATGACTTAACCCACTATGCCACAGCACCAGCACCATCTAGTATTCTATTCTAACTCAAACAAATATAAGTATTCCATATGTTTGCTATTTGTCATTTTTATCCCTTTTACAATTCGAGCTCCTTCAGGGCAAGGATCTTGTCCTGCTTTGTTTTCTGGGCTTAAAACAGTACCTGGTGCAGAGCAGTGCTTGCTCAGTGACTCTCAGTGGAATGAACGGATCAACATCCTTACTTCAACAGCTGAGCTCTTCCAGCTTTCCAATCCATACTCCAACTTCATTCTTGGGTGTAAGGGAAGTATAAAAGAATCAGAGAATATGGACATTGAAATTCAGTACGATTCAAGGCTAATTGGCTTGTTTTGTATATTTGAGAAGAAGAAGAGAGAGAGAGCTCTCCCATCCATTGGGTCACTGTCCAAATGCTCTCAACAGCTGGGTCTGGGCTGGGCCGAAGTCAGGAGCTGAGAACTCAATCCAGGTTTCGCACATGAGTGGCAGGAACCCAAGCACTTGATTAACTCTTGGCTTTCCTACCAGACTGCCTGAGTCTGCCACTCACCTCAGCTCATGATCCCCCCTTCCTGGTAGGCAGGCCCTGGGAGGGAGCAGGTGAGAACTCCAGAAGGTGAGCCTTCTGCCACCCACGAGTGACTTGGACTGGGTCCCTGGCTGTCAGTTTTGGTCCCAGGCAGAGGTCACTGCAGGCGTCTGGGGAGTGAACCAGCTTTCTTTGTCTCCCAAATAAATTATTTAATTTAAAAATGCATTAAAAGAATAAATGCGAGTGAGTAGTCTGAAAGGCGGCTCCCCGACCTGTGTCTTCCTAGAACAGTCTCTAGAGGGCAGTCTCACACCATGCTCCACTTCTCTAGCCTCAGCCCCCTTGCCTTTTTTTCTTTACCACAGGCAGCTCAGATAGGTGGGTGGATGGATGGGTAGGTGGGTAGATGGATGCATGGATGGGTAGCTAGCTGGGTGGATGTGTAGATGGATGAGGGGCAGATGGGTAGGCAGGCATACAGCACGGATGGATAGATGACAGGCAGGGTGGGTCCCACTCCAGTTGGGCTCTGGAGTTGACAAGCTCTGGGATTCGGGTAAGTCGCGCATCAAGTGACAGTAGCTTAGACACTGGTGGTGCCAGCCCCTTCCTCAAGCTAGGGCCAAGGGACTATGATTGAAACCTGGAAAGAAGTTATTGGTTGCAAAATGGGAAAAGAAAATTGCAAAATGGGAATTGGGTTAATATTTAAAGAACTAGCTACAAAAGAAAACATCAACCAATCAACTGCAACTCAACTCTGTATACACTGCATGTGGGAGGCAAGTCCATTTTAATACTTTCCACGTGTTGTGGACACTCCTAAAGTGTGAGGGCCCTTGCTGCCCTGGAGAAGGCCTGTGTGGAGTGAGCAGAATGAGTATTAGTTACAACCCAGATTCCCCACCAGAGGGCTCATGGTGCTGCTCACTGTCAGAGCTGCAGGCTTAGCTCTCCTCCTGCTGAGCACCTGGAGCCACATTCAGTTAAACCCACTGCCCCCACCACCATTGTTCCTTACTTTTTTTTATTAGTATGCAATATTTGTACATATTTATGGAATACAGTACCGTAGTTCAGTGCCTGGTATACAATGTATAATGATCAACTCAGAGTATTTAGCATTTCTGTCTCCCCAATCATTCATCAATCATTTCACTTTAAATAAAGATTTATGTATTTTTTTAATCTGAAAAGCATATAGAGTGTAAGTGAGAGAGAGAGAGAGAGAGAGAG